AGCCGGAGAACTTCGATAAGATCGAGGAGCGAATCAGAACCGTGCGTGTCTAAACATTGCGGCACGTTTGTTGCGCTGAGTACGTTAGGATATCTCTCCTTTATTCTCAAAAACAGGAAGCAGAGAAGTAAAGAAAAATGTTTATATTATATTTTCCCAAAAGCGGAAAGAAATCGAGAGAAAAAGAAGCGAAGATATAAAAAAAAAAACACATATACAATGAGAAAGAAAGAGTTTAAAAAAAAAAATAAAAAAAAAAAAAATAAAAAAAAAAATAAAGATGAAAATAAAAAGCTATTCTATTGAACTCTCTGCTAACAACAATAATAGATGAAGTCCTGCCTGCCGTGCAAAAGTTTCGCAAAGATCAGAAATGACAAAGCCACCGGCAGGATATTGCGTACATATCTAGGACGCCCAAAAGTGCGCCGATATCACAGCGAATATATAAATAGATATTGATATACATAACAATAATAATAATGCTAATACTAGTAACTAATCATAGCGAGGATAGATGGCGGAAAGGAGGAAAGGGAAGAGAGAGGGAGAGAGGGAGAGAGAGGTAGCGCTAGCAGTGTGAGCGTGCATTAAATATTTTTTCGCTACGGAGTACATACACACACACTTCTAAATATCAGAACTACCCCATCCAGAAAAGCATTTGATATCGTGTATGTATGCGGGAAGGCGAAACATCGATGATAGACAGAAACAGAACAAATTATCCCATTGATATAATGAACGGGTTCTCTCTTTTTTTAAGAAAAAGGGGGGAACGGTGGGAACGGTGGGAACGGTAGACAAATATCATACATATCAAATCAATATAAACAACAAACCAAAACAACAAAAACAACAAACGCGACGGGGAAAGAAAAATGAATAAAGAACGCGTCCCAAAAAAAAATCTCTACATACCCTACATCCCTTCTTCCTCCTCCCTTTATTGTATAGTAATCATGAAAATAAGCGTATTTTGGGGGATAATATCGTAGAGTAAACAAGAAAAACATAGTTAATGGAATCGCATTTGTTTGAACCCCCTCGGAGGCCCTGCCCGCGTCACAACCCACCCCCCCCCCTTCCTCTATACTACAATCACACCGTTCTTCCTGCCAATTTCCTACATGCGCAATACCATATAAACTATGTACAGCCGACTAGTCTATCCATAGGATAGGAATAAAGGTGTGCACGCAGACACAACACGCATACAGATACAGCAGAAGCAGGAACTGGGGCGGATGGTTAGAGAACGAGAGAGTGAAAAATAATAAATAGCGAAGCCCGACGGGAGGAGACATAATAAGAGTAAAATAAAATATGATAATAAAGTTAAGTAGAGAACGATTTGAAAAGAGGAACAAAACCACATATCACTACAAAAAACCAAGGTGGACACTCCCACAAGACTCTCATCACCCACTTGAAATACTTTACGCGATATCGCGAATACCATGGATAAAAAAAGGTGAATAAACACACTGAAAAGTCAAAAAAGCGTTCAACAAGACAAGACTAAAAACTGAGAAAAAGCAAGCCATCCATTTCCTTATTTCCCACCTCGACGCCGTTTCATACCAAATTACAAAAAAGGTGATTCATGTGCACGATACTTGGTTTTAAAAAAAAAATCCCCCAGAACTATTCGGAGCCGAGGGAGAAGGAGGGTAAAGGAGGGAGAGAGAAAGCCAAACATGAGAGCCAGACCCTTAACCCGCGGAATCAAAAGAATAGAAGGCAAAAATTGTAGGGGAAAAAAAAAAAAAAAAAAAAAAAAAAAAAAAAAACTATGCTGCTTTCTTCGGCGTAGCCTTCTTTGTGGCCTTCTTGGTTCCGGTGGTCTTCTTTTTTGGTGTGGCCTTAGCGGTGATTTTGTGACGCGGCCAGACTTGGTCGTCGCTGTGACCTTGGGTGCGTTGACAACTGCTGGGGCCTGTTATCGCGATTGTGGACAGTTAGTATCAGTGGGGTGTATTTTATGAAATTAAAAAGGGAGTAAACGCACGGACTGGGGCCTTTCGAGGCTTTAGCTACGTTCCCCTTCGTCTTTCCAGAACAGTCTTCTTGGGGGCTGGCGGTTTTCTTGGTAGAAGTCTTTCGTCACAGCTTTCTAAAGCTGCCTGGCTTTTTCCCTTCTGGGGGACAGCGGGTTTTGGCGGGAAATGGGTAGCCTCTCCTAACCCCCGTGGGTAAGGGGGGTCCCCTTCATAAGCAAATTTTCACCGGAACCCGAAGGGGA